AGCAACACTCGTATGAAAAATCAATGGGCTATCAAGTTTGCTTATTGTCAACAAATTTCCACTCATTTGAGACCATTTCGACATGTGATAGGGACTTAAGAAAAAACTTCAAAGGGTCCCAATTTATTATCTCCAAATAAGATTTAATTTTGAGTTTTGAAAAACCGCGAAATCCCTGCCCATATCCAGTGTTCATATTATGAAATTTTATCAGGGTTTTGGGTTTTTTTCAAGCAATTTAATTAAGTACATGCATGTGTAGCATACGTGAACACACATGTATAAATACATTGAGCGAGACCATAGTACTTGCCTCTTTTATTTCTTGTTTTTTTTTATTTTTATTTACATGCACACTTTCAGGCTATTTTCTTTGTTTTTTTTATCTCTTATACAGAGAGGCTCTCTTGTTATCACTCTCATTCTTATAGTTATATTTTTTCGTCTTTCTTTCACTCGGAGAAAGCAGCAACATTTCTTGATGAAGAGAGGGGTAAAGAACCAACTTTGTTTTGTATTCTTTATTCTTATTTTTATTTCTAAAGGTTTTGTTTAGTAGGTTTTAATGTTCATTACTTTTGTAATGTTTTAAAACCCGATGATTCCCAATCTAGATCGCCGATGTGGATGGGAATCATTCTGAACCGAACTGGTTTTAGGATTTGTGGCCCCCAAAGTAGTTCCCCCCCTAAAACATCTTTTTTTATATTTTATTATTTTTATATTTTTAAAGTTATCTAATATTTTCTTTGATCCCTTAAACCCCCTATTTTAGTTTTAACTTTATTTTATTTGTTTTTTAATATTTTCTAGATCATTGATCTAGACTGATCAAAATCGCTGATTTAGCTATTTGACAATCCATCCCATTGATCCGGATTTTGAAACACTGCTACAAAATATGGGCTGTGAAAAATTCTACGCCATTAAATTATTGCTATGGTGTTTGCCCATGATTGACAATATAGCAAAACTTGTCAAAAGCAACGTACGACTAGTTTGGAAATATTTTCTTATTTTGTTATTTATTTCGAGATCTTCCTTTTCATTAGCTTTGCTTATTTCTTGACGATTTTGTTTTATTTTTTCAGATCTTTTAATTCATTAACCTGGATTATTTTTAAGTTGTTTTTATTTGCTGGTGTACATATTATGCTCCCACGGGAGCATATTGTACATCTACTCCTTCAATCAAAACACATATATGGCAGATTTATTATTTTATTTTATTTTATTTTTATTTTTATGTTTTTTCATTTTAAATACTTGGGTACCATCTAAGAATTACTATATGATTATTGAAAAAAAAAAATTTAATTTATGGGTTTTCTAATTCTCAGATCTCATCGTCCAAAAAATTGGACAGATATTGTTCAACTTTGAGACATTTTTCTCAAGTGCATAAAAAGTGTGACTTGGGAAATATTTATATTGGTAAAATTAATGTATTCATGCTTCTTTGTGTTTAAATAGTAAGTTTTCTGCATTGGCTTTAGGAGATTTTTCATTGCTTCCCTTACTTAATGCATCTTTATCTAAACATTTTTCTAGATCTTTTTGCTTCTGTGGGCCCATTTTATTTCTCTGTTTTAAATGTGTCTGTTCACACACACACATATTTGCAGAATTTGATTTGTATACTGTTAAATCCTAAATGTTTGCATGTTTGTGAAAGGGATTATATCCACTTCGGCTTTTACAAAGTAAGTAATGATGGAAAATAATGGATGCTTTATCTGCACCATGTATCAGGCTTACAAATGGCTGATTTCATCGCAAATGTGAGATATTTTAAGCTTATCATATTGATATTCTCTATGTAACCACATTTTTGGCACTTCCATAAAATTTTCGATGCTATTTTATTGAAAATATCTAATAGTTTTCTTCTTTGTGTGTATTTAGATTCTTTAAAATTCAATGCCGGATTCGCGAAATCCACAATCTCAATCGTAGTATTACTTGAAATGATGAATTTTCATACCACTAATCCCTGTGCACAACCCTTAGACTATGGAGATAATTGATCCCACTTTCTATATCGAGGGCATGTCAGACTGGTGCCTTATTGTGCCTCTTCATCGTGGCCTGCCTGAGTCGACTTCCATTTCCATCTTCTGCACTGATACAACAATCATAGGCTTTCCACATACTCCAATCAATCTAAACACAATTGGGTTCTTAAGGGTGACAAGCATTATAAGCTCTTGAGCAAAATCATGATTCTTCACTAATTCCTACTTCTCGGTGTTTTTCTAGCCTCTCTAGTATCTTAATTGCTACCTCCTCTGCATTTAACTGGTCTTATACAGTTGATCAAAAGGTCCTTAGGCATAGGCCATTGCCTATCTTAGTTCGATAATCCACTTCTTGCAGGGTAACTATTGTTGATTAGGGCATCCCCTAGGGTATCATTAAGGAAGAATTCTCCAAATTTCTAGTTTTTATGACTCTGAGGATAGCCATTAGTTTCTTTTACTAGGTCTAGATGCATAAAAACTGGGGTATCAATAATGTGTCACAATTTATCTCCCATGAAGATCGCTAATGCAATTTATCGATAATTAACTATAAGAACATGTTCTTCACATCCAAAGATCCCAATTTTTAGACATTCACATATAGTGGTTGGGCAACTACGTTGTGATCCAAACCACAATCCACCCAAAGAGGCCCTTAAGTCCATATTTACTTCTTTTGCTCTTTGATAAGTAATGACTTCTCACTTACTCTGAGTTAAACAATCTTCTTCTCAGTCTTGTCACCTTTTTTTTTTCACTTTTAGATTTACTTTGTATTCATTTTTTGCTGCCTTGAATTCCATTGTGCCCTTCACAGTGCAGGGCATCATTAGTTTTCTCAATATACAACAATACACACACACATATTGTTGTGGTGTGTGCATAGACTGAAGGCTATTTGTGTGTGTGTTTATGGTGCAAGAAGATGGTCCAACACAAGCCCTACGATAAGAAGGTGGGCATCTACAGCTTTAGGATTGTTCTATGAGATAACTGGGATGCTCCACTTTGAGAACATCTCTATACGGTGAGCCATGTTTGCTGTGGTGGGTACGCCCGGCAGTACCCTGATTCTGCCTGCCATGTCTGTCACAGATAAGGACCTGCTGTCGGAACCCGGACACCATCCTGCCCCACTCCTATGTGCTTTGGAAGGTTTAGGATGCTCAGGATGAGATCCTCACCGACGTGAGGAGAGCTCGCTATCAGAGCTGCATCACTCAACCATCAACAGTTGACTGATTCTGTCTCTGTTACATACACACACATATTTATAAGCTCTCAGGAGCTTGATATCATGGCATTGGGCATCTTCATTGATCATTTTGTTTTGATTTCTTATAGACAGTCTCTCTCTCTCTCTCTCTCTCTCACTCAATCAGCATGTAAATGAAGGTTGAGCAGAGCTAGTTCTTTTGGTGCTGTCTTTTGTATTTCTCCATCACAGGGCAAAGAATGAAAAAGTTTATGGAGCAAAGATTGGTGAGGTCATGGAGGATATTGAGACATCAAGGAAGGTCTCTTTTGGATAGAGTGAGAATATGTTAATAAGGGAGGAACGTGAAGATCACATATCTTGGTAAAAAATTATATGGAGTTCATATATTTATAAAGAGTGCGGTTTGAATAGGGACGAGGCTCTAAATAATCAAATTAGAGCCCACTTTCAATTAGTGTGGAGAAAAATGGTTTCAATATTGGAAATATTTGTGATTGTCTTATAATATATTATTAACTTTAATTATAAATTTAAATCTTAAAAAAATATTGTAGATCGAGCTGATCTATAAAAACTTAAAAAACTTGAAAATTGACCATCAAAAAATGCATTTCAAGATGTGCAATATTTTCAAAACTTGAAATCCATCTTTTTCTCATGTCCATGCATCTTGATGTCGAGAAGATCAAGTTGAGAATATTTGAACATCAAAACAACCTCTTCTAGTGAAATTTTTTAGGTGGACTCTAATTTGTTTGTTTAGAGCCTCGGCTGTATATAAACTTTTTCCATTTATAAATCAAAGTCCTTTTTGTTTTGTCGACATTAATCTGTTTACATGTCTCTTCACCAGTTTCACATCTATGTTTTCCCAAAATACCTATTACTTCGATATTCTTAGTTCCGAGTCATGTTGAAGTTAGTTTTTACAAAAAATATTGTTCAGTAAGAGTACCATATATAATAAAATTCGATACGAAGAGTACATAACCAAAGTAAATACAAAAGTGTTATGTTCTCCATAAAGTTAAACTTTAAAACTGACCCTTTTTTTGGACCATCCATTTCAAATTTTCAAAGATCACCATGTCTGAGTTAGTTTTTAGCTACCCCTCCTTAGATATGGCAGAAGTGAGTATTCTATAATTTAAAACCTAAAGTCCTCAAACCCTCTAAAACAACATACAAGAACCAACACTGATACATGAATTAGACAAACAATCACTTGAATCATACACATGCACATAAACCATTGGATTAATTGACTTGGAGGTTTTCCATATTTCTTCTATTGTATAAAACTTTTATACTTCCCCGTATCCAACCATCCATTCGGAATGGACTGCTGAGATGGCCCAAATCATTTTTTAAAATATTTTGACATCAAATTTTGGGCATCTACTCCTCTCTTAAAGTCACACCCGTTAAAAATATAAAACAAGTATTTCTAATAAAATAAATAACTGAAATGCCTATGAAAGTTTTAGAGGTATTTTGGTTATCGTATTTTATAGATATTATTATTTTAATATTTATTTTTGTTGCGCTCCATTGAGATAATGGCACGTACCAAATTTCATATTCATATAAGTTGTAGCAAAAAATAAAATAAAATAAAATACTCTGAGACATCGAATCTTAAATCAAACGATCAGTGGCTGACTTGATCTAAATTGGACAACTGGATAAATAGGAAAATATATATTAGAGGAAATATAAAAACCTTTTCCCTTAAAGATCAATTACCAAGCTCTCACATATCTCTAAAATTATTCAAAAGCTTTATTTCACCCCACACTAAAAACTTCAAATACCAACTTTACCCTTACAATGACAGCTTTCAACTAAACCCTGAATTTGCACCCAAATATTCTAAAAAACATAATCAACCATGCTTTTGACCTCCTCACTTAACTTGGTCCCCTCAATTGAAGAAGCAGGGGTAAAATAGTCCAATAACTGCCACTTCTTTCGCTTAGCCAACCTGGCATAGTTAACATAGTCCCTAGGACTATGAGATGCAATTCCTGGTATAAGGAACCCAAACGCTCTAAAGACTGTGGATGCAATGCCTTCTTTGTAGTCCTCGCCTTCAAAGTGCCATAGTACAAAGCTCCAAAAGAAATCCAGCCATGCATTGAAATAGTGAGACACCAAGTATTTCAAGGAAAAGTAGTTTGCATTGGGCATTTTATCCATTATCTGCTCCACACAAACAAAAACGGGTTGTTAATGAGATATAGAGACAAAACATTCTTATTTTCCTGTTCTACTCAGTATGGGTGGCAATGGACCAGGACCCAACCCGGGACCCATGGGGTAGACCCAATCTGGGTTTGGGTATTTGTCAAAAAATTGGACCTGGTAGATTGGATCTGGATTCAAATCTTAGACCCGAATACTATTTGGGTCTTGATTCGATAATATTTTTTGGATTCAAATATATAAAATATATTTAAATATAATTAAACACATGGATATTTTAATTTTGAGTGCGGTTTGTATAGAGCCTAGGCTCTAAACAATCAAATTAGAGCCTACCATCAAATAGTATCGAAAAATGTGGTTTCAATATTGGAACTCTTTGTGATAGCCTTAAAATATATTTTTATATTTATTTATACAATTTAAAGCTTCAAAAATAGTGTATATTGACAGATCTATGAAAACTTGAAAACCTTGAAAATTGACAGTCAAAAAATGCATTACAAAATACACTATTTTTAAAACTTGAACCTATTTTTTTTTCGTGTCCATGCTTGATGTCGAGAAGATCAATTTGAAGATATTTGAACATCAAAACAATTTCTTCTAGTGAAATTCTTGAGATAGGCTCAAATTAGATTGTTTAGAGCTTCTGCTCTATATAAACTTTTCCCTTTAATTTTTGGGTTGGGTCCGGATCTGAGTCCATTATCATTTTTTCGGGTCCAGAGCTGTTAGTCTCAATAAAAAATCAACAAACAAATAAATAAAATTGATAAACAACTTACTTGAATCTATCCTTAAATCACAACGAAAGACTTAAGATTTCATATCAAAACCCATAAACCAAGCCATCTGGTGACAGGCTACCTTGAGAATCTTCTCTGGTGAATCACATTCACCGTGGATGTCTCATTTTCATCATTCTCTTTTCTTATCTTTACTTGAGAGTTAATCTCTCTTTATAGAAAATCATTTAGTTTGTAACTCTCACATTCATGGTCTATAGGAGTTGAGATACAAGTATAACTCTTACCTTAATTCCCTTAAGTGCAGCTACTTAGGATTAACAAGTTGTCACCAAACTATTAATTCTATACAATGTGTTAAATCTGCCATTAGTGCAATAATGACTCACATAATAGGATGTCATCCAAACATTCCTACCGTTTGATAAAAGATATTTAAAAATTAAATAATTTTGTACATTTATAATATAGAAAAACAATTCTTACAAAAAATCTAAACACATCATTGAGTTTTCCGTCCAATGATATTGGGTTTTTACTCCAGTACAACATCTTATAAAGGCTCCAAAATGGATCTTAGTATATGGCATTGCTTCATGTCAACCGTATGGATTTCATATATACTATACAATATAGCTTTTGTACTATTATTGAAAAATAAACTCCCGGAATAAAAGAGTTTGATAAACCACATTTCCAACAAGATCTGGATCTGGGTCCCATATCAATTTTTCGGCCGTGGGTCCGGGTCCGGGTTTGGCCGGACCAGACCGATTCCCTCCCCTACTTCTAAGTGACAGTAATTTTACTTGTTTTATTAATTAAAATAGGGGTTTTAAGAATCACCAATCCAGTTCACAAATTGCCCATCTGGATCACTATAAGAGGTTAATAGGGCTGATTCGCCTTAATCGAATCAATAATCGACCTGATTCTGTCTAGTTTAAGATATTAGTCCCCGTCTTTCCTGCGTTTGTTTGATGATTTAAATAATCACAAAGATGGATCTCTCTCTCTCTCTCTCTTTCTCTCTCTGTATGCAGATAAATACAGAGGAAGATAGAAATAGAATCAAAATCTTGTGAATTGCATAAATTTTAGTACCCTCCCTCTCTCACTCCCTCCAAAATGAGAGAAAAATAGAAAAAAACATGCCCTCTCTCACTCACTCCAAGATTTGGATCCGGAGCCGACCCATTGGGTCCAATTTCTGGACCCATACCCAGACTTCGATCGGATCTACCTCTCGGGTGCCAGGTCGGCTCCGGGTTCCATTCCCATCCATACTCGAAAAAGAAAAAAAAAATAAAAATAAAATAAAAAATAAAATAAGGGAAAGACAAGAAAAAGATAAAGAAACCTACTTTTCCGTTGTACCAATTCCTGTAATATAGGCACTCTCCTGAGTGTTGGAAGTTGGAGATGAGTTCACTAAATGGCACCCTTGGGACCAAATCATACCTATAAACAACCCTATAATACCTCTTTGTTGGCTCATTCAGCTTCTTGTCCATGAACTCACTCAAATCTTCATCCCCAACTCTTGGTTGCCCAAAAGTGAAAACACCCAAACATCTCTCCATGATTTCATCCTCCTTATGCAATAGCAATATTGTGGTCATGAGCACTGCAAGTGCACCACCCAAACTGTGCCCTGTGACCACAAACTTTGCTTTAGGGTTCTCTTTAAGAAGCGTCCTAAGCTTCTCTCTAATGGTGTAATAGGCAAAAGGGTTCAGTGCTTTATCTATTCTCTCATCATCTATGGGCAATCCTTTCACGTAATCGTTTTCGTCGGTGAGACCCAGGCCCTTCAGGAAGCCGACATGGGCGCGGCCCAGTGAACCGAGCTGTATATAGGAGAGGTCCAAATCTGTGTCCCAATCCTTAGCACTGAAAGCCTCAGTCCCTCTAAAGGCCACAACAATGGCCTCTATGTCTTTTGCCTTGTCACAAAACATGAAGGCCTGGGTGTTCTTTTCCTTCTGAAAAGCTGCAAAATAAGATGGAGTTAGAAGTGTTTCAAAAGTCGACTCGACTCGAGCTAGGACTTGCCTAAGCCTCGAGGAACCAGTGTGACTCGGACCAAGTCCGAATCACATCGCAGGAGATTTAACAAAGGAAATGAGAGAGAAAAAGCTGGTGAATCGAGAGATTCTCGGGTTTTGGCTCCCAATCGGGTCCAACTCAGTTGATTCTTGAGTTAGAACGACAGCTTTTAATCACGTCAAGTTGTGTCTTTCATTTGTTATCTACCTTCTTTGTGTTTTAACGTACGGGTAAAACATTCCGGTCTCGATTTTTTTTTTTCCAAATTACCCCTCTTCTTTGGTAAATCAAACACGAGCTAAGTAAGTTTTTTGCATTTAAACGAAAAGCAGATGTCCGGTGTTCAAATTTTTTGCATTTAAACGAAAAGCAGATGTCCGGTGTTCAAATTACGAGACAACTCTTTTAAGGGTTTTTTTTTTTTTTTTAAATTAAAAGAATTTTTTCCGACACATCCCTTATGCTTGCAACATTCTCTCTCTTCAATATATTGTCCCCCTAACTCAGGAACCCCTCGCTTGCAGAATGGGGAATCTCTTGTTGTTCATTATTTAAGTCCCCTGCGTTCTCTCTCTCTAGGGTCTAGATTTTGCTCCAATTTATTTGTTGTGGTCAATTGGGGGTTGGATACTAGAGGATATAAATATTCTAAAATATATTAAAATATTTATATGTTATTAATATTTATATTTATAAAAATATAAATATTATATACATAATATCTTATATTATACTATATATTACATATAATATATAAATATCTTCTATTATATTTTAATAATTATTATATTATATGCTATATATGATATAAATATACATTAATAAAATATATTTTATAGATTTTATTATGTTATATATTTATATTTATATTGTTAATATGCATATGTTATCAAACACAATACCTAGGACTTTTTTAACATACGAGTAGGTTATCAAACACAGTACTCATAACTTATTTAAACCTTCCAGAACCTAACATTTAACTTTCCAAAAGATTTAAAAACATTCAACTTTCCATAATATATCTTTCAAAAAAACAAACGCGCCCCTAGAGTGAGAAGGAAAAACCTTGTTGGCTTTTGATTTTTCCATAGTTCTTTTTTATCATTTGGAAGATAATATTCTTGCTTTCTGGTTTTACCTTATAGAGAGAGGAAGGAGAGAGAAAAGCAAAGGTTTCGAAAGATGGTTAATGTGCCCGCCGAACGTTCTTTATGAAACCACCTTGAAACCCTAAACCTAATCCTCTGAATTATCCGTTGGTATCTAACCCCCAATTGACCACAACAAATAACTTGCAGCAAAATCTAAACCCTAGAGAGAGAAAGAACGAAGGGGACTTAAGAGCGAGAAGGAAGAGATTTCCCGGTATGCAAGCGAGGGGTTCCTGAGTTAGAGAGAGAAAATATCAAAGAGAGAGTGGGAGAGAGGGTTGCAGGCAGAAAGGAGATCTCGGAAGAAATTCCTGGAAATAAAAAAAAAAAAACTTAAAATGTTGTCCAACTACTTTTCGTTTAAACATAAAAAACCCACTTATCCGGTATTTGGTTCCCCGTAAATTCTCTAATAGTTAATAACTTAAAAAATTTCTCTCTTTCAATTAAAAAAAAAAAACATCAATTAATTAACAATGTCACGTCTCTACACTATTTTTATTTTTAATTTTTTTTATAAACGATTTTGACACCAAATTTTGAACGTCCAATCCTCTGTTAAACTCGCACTAGCTAAAAATATTAAAAAAATATTTTCAATAAAATAAAATAACCAAAATACGTATGAAATTTTCAAGATGTATTTTGGCCATTATATGTTATCAAAAAATTATTTTTAATATTTTTTATAGGTGCGCCCCAATGACAAGATGGCACGTACCAAATTTTACATTCATACAAATTTTTTAAAAAAAAACTAAAAATAAAATACTTTGAGACATCGGATCTAAGATCCAACAGTGAGTGGATCTCTTGATCAAAATTGGACGGCTGGATGGTAGGGGAAGCATAGATCTTCTATGCTGTAGGGAAAGTATATAAACTTTTCCCATCTATGCTTTATACCCATATTTTCATAGTGCCGGTTCGGAATGAAACACTGACGAACCGGCACTATGAAATCAATGTATCGGACCGGTCCAACATATTTTTTGTTTCGAATCATACTCATTTTTCGGTCTGGTTGCCAGAGCGGCACTATTAAATCAATGTGCCAGACCGGTACGATACATTTTTTTGCCTCCGTCTGGCACATTTATTTTGCCGGACCAATACGGATTCATTTTTTAGCCCGCCACAAACAAAAAAAAAAAAAAAGAGAGAAAGAAAAACGGGTGTTGTAACATAGGTCACATGGGGTCGTTGGGGTTAGTTGCAAACGAAAACATTTTTGATGGTTTTTTAATTTTTTTAAAGTTGTTGGGGAAGGATGTTGAAAAGCTGAGCCAAACGGGGTTTTAGTAATTTTTCCTATTATAAATGAGGACAAAACTTATGGAAAGACTTTTTTCATATATATATATATATATATATATATTGGGTGCAGTTGGCTTATAGATGCATCCGTAGCTGTATAGGTAAGGTGCAAATTCAAATTTTATCATAGTATGTAATTTTGACGTAAAATTTGCTTAGAATTATTTCAAAATCTATTTTTATATCTAAGTATAAAATTTATTTCTGTGATTTAAAATCTTTTTATTTTTCATGGTTATACATATTGATGTCGAGATGATCCATCAAAAGGTTTTTCAACATTAAAACTATCTTTTTCGATGGATTTTTGAGGTGCATCCGTAGTTCTACATTATAAGATTGCATCCTTATAAAAACCTTTACCATATATTTTATTGTGTCGTGAAGAGAGAAAAGAATGTCATCTCTATCTCTTTCTTACCATTCCAGAAGTCAAAAGCCCCGACCAGGTGCATCTGCATTCCACAAAAAACACTATTAACTGATACTGAGAGAGACACCCTTTTTTTTTGCGTTTCTTTTTTTAGGTAATTCACTAGGGAGGACACGCATCTACCCATTTTTTTTAAATAGTTTATGTGGAATGATAGTGAGAGAGACACCCTTTTTTTTTCGTTTCTTTTTCTATGTAATTCACTAGGGAGGACACGCATCTACCCATTTTTTTTAAATATTTTATGAGAAAAAGTTTATGTAGAGCCGAGGCTCTAATCAAATTTGAGCCTACCTCAAAAATATCACTAGAAGAGGTTGTTTTGATGCCTAGAATATCTTCAAATTGATCATCAAGATGCATGGACATGAGAAAAAAAATGGAACGCAAGTTTTGGAAATTGTGTATTTTGTGACGCATTTTTAGACAGTTAATTTTCAAGATTTTCAAGTTTGCATAGATATGGCGATCTATACTATTTTTAAAGCTTTAAAGTTTATAAATAAATATGAAAATATATTTTAAGGCTATCAATAAGATTTCCAATATTGAAACCACATTTCTCGATACTATTTGAAGGTAGGCTCTAATTCGATCGTTTAGGCTCTATACAAACCGCACCCTTTAGCTTTTTGAAGGTGCTAATAGAGTGGTGTAAGTTAGAATGAAAACAATAATGTGGTGACCTAGGACTACCACCATGACTCAACTCCTTTCCAAAATGAGGATCTGGGTCCAAATAGTAATTTAGATTGAATCTGAGTACAAGTAGATCTGATTAGGATCCAACCCAGTTATTAAAATATTATATATATATATATATATATATATATATATATAATAGTATTTTTTATTATATATTATTTTATAAATATAAATACTTCTTAGATTTGATTGGGTTCGGATCAGTGTTAGCAAAATCGAACCGGAACGGTTAACACGACATGGGTCGGGAAGCGATTTAACCGGCCTAACCGGTAAACCGGCCGATTCAACCGCTCTAACCGGGCAAGTCCCGTAAGATAAAAAAAAGTGTTAAAAAATAAAAAAATACAAAAAAAAAATCTATTAAAATATGAAAAGCATATAAAGAATATTATTAAAACAAAACACACTCAAATGAAGTTGAAAATTAATGAAAAAAATGGATTTTAACGAATCGATTTGTACTTAGGGGTATTTTTAAAATTTTATGAAAAAGATGGGAAAATCTAAAAGTATCATTGA